ATCCTTTTCACCCTCTGCCTGTAACGAATTTGCCTTAAATCTCCCCTAAATCTCTCACCCTAAATCTATGTTATGGATCTCTCAACCAAGAACAAGTCCTGAGTGTGATTCAAAGTTGAAGCTTCAAGCTGACAGTCAGACACGCAACCCATTTCGACGACTAGACCTCTCTCCACTCTTTCCAAATTCCTCATAATTCTAGCCATTTTAACTAGATACCCTTTCAAACTCCTTTTCCCAGTATCACAAAATTATTATGATGCAGAAGGAAGCCAATCAGGGCACAATGTCTGCACTGCTCTCCGAAAAAACATTAAGACTTTGTCCTGCCTTTTCCCCATTACCATTCATATTGTTTCCATTCAAATAATCATCTAATCCTCTCTTGAAAACACCAGGCTGACCAATCTTTTCTCACGGCTAAAATTTTCAGTTCAGGCAACATCTTTGTCAACGTTCTCTGTACCCTCTCTGAAGCAATCACATTTTTCCTGCAAAACTGCAAGTAGTATTGCAGCACCAGCCTAACTAGGGTTATATCTTGTTCTTGAACAACCTCCCAGCTATTATATTCTATGCTTCAGCTAATAAAATGAAGTATCCTATAAGTCATCATGACAATCTTTTCTACCTGTCCAGCTAGCTTTAGGGATTTGTGAACGTTCATTGCCAATATACCTCTAAACTTTCCAATATTCTACCATTTATTTGTGAATTCCTTTGCTTTGTTAACTTAACAAAACGCAAGATGTGGGCATTATTGGTTAGGTCTGCATTTTATTGCCCATCTGGGAGTGAAGAGTCAATTGCTGTGGGTTGGGAGTCACATGTAGACCAAAACGGGTAAGGGTGGCACACTTTCTTCCCTAAAGGATATTTTTACAATTGACAGTTATTACATTGACACCATGAGGTTTTTCACATAGTTACTGAATTCAAAATTTCACCATCTGCCATGGTGAGATTCAAAACCACACACCACACCATTGGTCTGCATAGGGATTACTCATCCATTTATATTGCCACACCTCGCTCAATATTCTCACTTTCTCATTCCATTTGCCACTACTTGGCTCATATGAACACCCTGTTAATATCTTTTTCTAGTCTAGAGCTTTCTCAAAATTGCCTCAAAACATCTTTATCGTGCCCGCTACATTCAAGTCCAAACCATTGAAATACACATATGTGTAATCAATGCAACAACTTCAGGTGATGGGCAAATGAATAGTAAAACTCAAATATCCAAGAACATCCTGTCTGTGTTGCACATCTCTGCTACTAGCTTTGTGGAAATGACTCTTCGCTAACTGCCTGACCGGTGACATGCACTGAACAGTCTAAAGTTCCTCCAATAGGTGTGGACTTGTTCAGCCAAATGGCCTGTTTCCAAACTGTAGGGATTCTATGAATCTATGACTCTAACAGCTTATTAGGCACAAAATAAACTCACCACAGAAAGTTTTTCTGAAGAAGGGCCCCGACCAGAAACAGCAGCTTTCCTGTTCCTCTGATGCTGCCTGGCCTGCTGTGTTCCTCCAGCTCCACACTTTGTTACCTCCATGTAAAGTTATGTGTTATCAGCTTAAATCCAAATGTTCTTTCAGCAATGTTAAATGTTAACAACGCACTAAGTATTACTTACTGCTATATAACTCTGTGGCACTACCAATTGACCATTAATTTCATCTCTTCAAGTTTCAGTTAATAAACCATAAAAAAATTTAAAATGACAAACTTAAATCTTTACCTTTCTGTCTTTTCCTCATCTCTTATAATTCAATCTTTCTTTCTCTTTGTTTAGTTCTTGTTATGTGTCTGATTTGATGTTGAATTTACTGAACAACTTGTGTTTGTATCGCTCCTTTAATGCAATGAACCATTTCAAAGCACTTTACAGGAGTGATATGAAGCAAGATACAACTGAGCCACATAGAGAGACACTAAGTCAGGTACAAACGTATAGAAGCAGTCCATTTAGCCCTTCAGGCTTACTCTGTCATTCAATATGATCATAGCTGATCTGTTTATGTTCTGAATTCCACATTCCCATTGTCCCTGATAACTTTTGATTCCTCTGCCTAACAAGAATGGCAATCTCTGCAAGACATGTCAGATCATTGACACGGACACTACCATCACACGTGGGAACACCACCACGTGCATGGCAGATACTCACGTGACTTGGCCAATGTTGTCTTTCTCATACACTGAAGGCAAGGATGCCCCGAGGCACGGTATATTGGCAAAACCATGCAGACGCTACGACAATGGATGAATGGACACCGCGTAACAATCACCAGACAGGGATGTTCCCTCCCAATGGGGGAGCACTTCAGCAGTCAAGGACATTCAGCCTCGGATCTTAGGGTAAACGTCCTCCAAGGCAAACTTCGGGGTATGCAACAATGCAGAGTCATTGAGCAGAGGCTGATAGCCAAGTTCGGTACCCATGAGGACGGCCTCAACCAGGATCTTGGGTTCATGTCACACAACAGTGATCCCACCACACTATACACTCTCACACACACATATACATACACACACAAACACACACAGATCCTCTCTCATGTGCACACACACAATTTTTCTCTCTCCCTCTCTCTCTCTCACACACACACACACACACACGAATCTATGGGGTGAACTTGTAGTTGCAGATACATTCTATTTTGCTCAAAAAGCACACAATTTATAGACAGTCAATGTGGCATTTTATAAATTCCTACTTTACAAATAAAACCAGTCTGACCCCAAACCGAAACACAAACAGATTCAAAACAAGGCCTCAAACCTAATATTCATTGCCTGACCTAAAATGCCACCTCTTCCTTACACTGATAAAACCTTTAGTTCTCTCAGGACATTGACTTCAAAGAAATTTGGGGATTTACATATACATATTAATTAATTAAAGCCTTCTAACCGATTAAAGATTTAGCACATCATCAGCGGTGTGAACCTTTGATCTTTTGTGCCTGATGCCACCTCTCTCACTAACACCTGAAGAAGGAGCGAGACTCCGATAGCTTGTGTTTTCAAATAAACCTGTTGGACTATAACCTGGTGTCGTGTGATTTTTGGCCTTGTCCACCCCAGTCCAACACCAGCACCTCCACATCATAAGAATCTATTTACCTTCCCTGTAAAAATATTCAATAAACCCTCTCCACCATGTTCTGAGGTGGAGACTTCCAAAATCACATAACACTCTAACAGAAAAAAAAAACTCACTTCATCTGTCCTAAAAGGGTGTCAAAGGTGTTCCCTAATCTGAAAACAGTATCCCTTAGTACTGGACTAATCCACAAGAGTTCTCTCATATTATACTTCGTTTACCAGATCTTTGCCCACTTACTTAACCTATCTATATCCTCTGTAGCATCGTTACAATTTCTTCACGGAGGTTGCTGACAATATTAAGAAAAGAACAGCATGGACCCCACTCAGTCAAACATTACAAACATTCACATAAAATGAGGATACCAAATTTGCCTATTCTCACTTCAAAATAGGCAATGCCCTAGTGGTATTATCCCTAGACTATTAATCCAGAGACACAACTAATGTTCTGGGGACCTGGGTTCAAATCCCACCACAGCAGATGGTAGAATTTGAATTCAATAATAATCTGGAATTAAGAGTCGAATGATGACCATGAAACCATTGGCAATTGTGGGAAAAATCCATCTGGTTCACTAATATCCTTTAGGGAAGGAAATCTGCCATCCTTTCCTGGTCTGGCTGACATGCGACTCCAGACCCACTGCAATGTGGTTGACTCTTATTGTCCTCTGGGTAATTAGGCAAGAAATGCTGGCCAAGCTAGCGTTGCCCAAATCCCATGAATGAACAAAATAAAAATCTGTAAGGGCATATGCAGGTCACAAGTTGTGGTCTCCAACAAGACATTGGTAAGGTCACATTTGGAATACTGTGCACAATTCTGGTTGTCCTGCTATAGGATGGGCGTTATTAAATAAAAAGATGTTATGGGACTGGTAGATTTGAGTTATAAGGAGAGGCTGGATAGGCTGGGACTTTTTTCCCTGGAGCATTGGAGACTGAGCGGTGGCCTTATAGAGGCTTATAAAATCATGAGGGGCTTAAATAATGTGAATAACAAAGGCGTTTTCCCCAAGATAGGGGAGTCCAAACTAGACGGCATAGATTTAAAGTGAGAAGGGAAAGATTTAAAAGGGGCGTGAGGGGCAACTTTTCACACTGAGGGAGGGGCATATATGGAACGAGCTGCCAGAGGAAGTGGTAGAGATGAGTACAATTAGAACATTGAAAAGTCATTTAGGCAGGTACATAGCTTGGAAAGGTTTAGTGGGATATGGGCCAAATGCAGATAAACGGGACGAGTTGAGCTTAGGAAATCTGATTGAGCCGAAGGGTCTGTTTCTGTGCCGAATGACTCTGTGACTAACATGAAAAACATTCGGCCTATCCAATTTCTAGCCCATAGTCATTTCTTAGCTGATCTTTAGAACCTTTGTCATGAGACCTTCAATTTATAAACATTTTGTTGTTAATGAATATTCCCCGAAATTTTCCAAGTGATGTCAAAATTGGTAACAGGACAATTGCTCCACAACGTGTAAAAGAAACTTTGTTTTTAACTCTCTGGTTAAAATTCTTTTAATGTGTAAGTGAATAATAAGTATTATATGTAAGATATTGATTTTAATCTAGAAAACCATAATATCATGATTCTGAAACAAAATAAGGCAAATGCTGGAAATCTGCAATTAAAAATATAAAATACTGGAAATATTCAGCAGGTCTGGAAGCATCTGTGGAGAAAATATACCATATTGTCTGGTAGTTATGTTGGATGTCCTTAGTTTGCTGAAAACCAAATATTCAATTTGCACATACAACAAGAGTGAAGGGATGGTTTTCTATATTACTCCAATGGTTTATCAGAATACTGCTAAAATCTAAACCTTAGTTAACACCAAAAAATGGAAGAAAAACCAAAATTTTTGTAGTACCTTCATGTTGCCAAATATGGTTAGCCTCTTTACAGATGATTTGATCTTTTAAAGTTCGCCACTTGCTTAATTTGCCTTTTTCGTGGGAGATGTGAACTTTGTTTGTCCCGTGCTTTACGCTGAGATGCAAGCTGAAACCTTCAAGAGTTAGATGACCCCGTTTGCTACATATCCACGCCTGATGTTGACCACTGGCACAAGGTTCCAGTTTCACTGTTCCAAATTCATTAGCTTTGTGAACTGTCAGACACTGCTCAGTTTTAAAGCTAACTATGGAGTTTAGGCGGGAATCCCATCTCCATTGCTGCTGCTCAGAATCTGGATTACATTCAGTGAGAGATATTCTAGTCTTCTCATTGTTTGCACGGATACATTTGTCCAGATGGACATTTTTGATGTTGAAGCCTAGAATATTTAATAGCAAAGTTAGATGTAAAACAACTTAAATAACATTATACGTCAAGGAGGAATGTTTAAAAGCATTAAATATACATGTAGTTAAAATATGCAGACACATTTATTCACTTTCTTTGTAATATTAAAAAGTATCTACACTCTGAAGGAATGGACTTGATGAAGAATGGCATTTCAAATTTTGTACTTTCCTACATTCTTAAATAAACAAATTATCTTTGGTCTAAAATCACTTGTTTTGTTGTCATTAAAATAATTATCCCCAGAACAAACTTATAATTCTACAGGTTTGTAAAAATTTAACCAAAGTATTATTTTGCTTAACCAATTAATTTTAACTTACACACCCCAGGACAAGAATGTAAACTCAAAGTTATAGGTGAGGAATATAAATATAATTGTCTTCCTGACTTTTGGAATTCTGCTGAAGCACTGGAAATATTCCTTAATTCATGAGGGATTAGAACAGAATCAAAGTTTAAATGTCTGTTTGAATTCTGAAGAAATTCATAAAAACATCCACAAGTGAAAGTGAATTATGAATTATATGTATATTGAGATAGACGGAGACAGGTTTGGGCAAGAAAAGGTTGAACCTGGGGCACCAACACTAACTAACCTGGAAAGAAATGCGTAAACCTTAATGTGAAAGCTTCAGCACAATTGTTTAAAACATCATTACAAAGCAGGAATACTATGCTGTTGATGGACAATAAAATATTGCAACACACGTAAGCAGAATGTTAGGGATGAATTCTGCATGCCCAGCAAAATACTTCCTCATAATAAAGGGAAATTGGCTATCTTGATATAATCTGCTCACATATAAGCTTCACATCATGAATTACTGAGTGAGAAAAGCCCATTCAGTTCATCTTAGTTCATCCAACCAGAAAATCTCTACATTCTCGCAAAACACCATTTACTTTATTCTTAAATAAATCCAAAGATGTCTTCTGTTGCCTACCTGAGAGTCTATTCCATGTTTTGATCATTCTGTACTCAGCAGAACTGAAGGACATTAACAACTGGCCAACAGAGTTCTAAGCGGAGTGTTAGGAAGACCCTTTGAAATTCATCAAGCTGCATATTACACCCCCCCCCGATATATATTGGCTGGGGCAGGACATCTAATACAGTGAGGTGGTTAGCTTACCATGTTTCCACATACTCGTGAGTTGCCCCTCATAACAGAGTATAGGTACTAAAAATAGGAGGCCAACAACCTAAGTAAATAAATAACTAAGGATCAATTGAGTTTTTTAAAAGCTCAGTTGACCCCAACATTATAATGTCCACATCATAACACGGTTGGCCTGGCAGTCAGGTGGATATGGGATTCATAATTCTTTATAAAGTGGGTTGGGGGCTTCTTTAATTGGAGGGAATTTGTCCATCAGGGGCACCCTGTTAAGAAGATTAAAAAAAAAATGCTTCCTTCCCACCCACACATTCTTTCAAACCCTCACCCCTACCCTCTCTTGACCCTCCTTCCTTATTTTCTAGAAGTTTCTCAGCCCAAAGCTCAGACTTACCCAGATCCAGGATTCATTCAGCCTCCTGCATGAGCCTGTGAGTAATCTCAGCAGCACTCAGTTGGACGCTCGAGCAGTGCTGCTACATTGTGGGTGCCAGATTAGATTGTCAACAGGTTCTGAGGGTGGGATTCCTTTTCAGAGAGAGAGGGGAATGTCCCACTAAGACCTTGTTTCGCCTACCTGCAGTGATTTATAGCTGTGGGATAGGCTCTAACCAGCCAGACAGTTGGCCACTAACTTTTCTTCTGTGGGGAGTGGAGCAAGTAGTTTGCCATACAGCCATAATTTTCTGTCCATTGTTACCTGGAGGAAGATGGCACTGTTACTGAATTCTAATTCCCTTGTCCCCAGTACTGCAGAACAGTGCTATATGAGTTCTACATTTTCAACCACTTTCTTCCTCACCTACTACAAAGACTTTTCTCCTCCTCTTAAATAAGTGTTTACACAACCAATGCTTTGTTATATTATCTGCTCTAATTTGCACTATTGCTACCCAGGTCCATTTAGCTCAACTATTCATATACATAATCCTAATACTCCACTGAATTTAATAGTCACATGTCTCCAAATCTTCTACTTCACTGATCCCATCTAGCACACTCTTCTCAATTGCTAGCTGTTTGCACATTCAGTGTAATTTCTCGTAGCACAAATGGGCATACAATGCTCATTAAGGCAGACTACAACGGCAACTCTACACTGTCACAGTCCTCAGACCCTTCAAAGAACTAACAGGCCCTCACCCAACTTGTGTCTTCGGAGTTAACAAAGTGGATTGACAAAGGTAGTGCAGCTGATGCTGTGTACATGGTGTTCAAAAAATATTTGAAGAAGTGTTATGTAACAGATTTGTTATCAAAATGAAAGTCAATGACATTCAAAAACAGCAGATGCAACACAGATATGAAATGGAGTCAGAGACAGAATACTTGAAAGACTAAACCTTTTTTCCCAGACTGAAGGGAAGTCATCAGGGATTGGCTTTAAGGACCTATGCAATTTTTGAAATACATTAATGACATGGACTTGGGTAGAGAGAGTATGATGATACCAAACCTGGGAACATGAGGAACAATGAGGAACAAAAACTTTAGGAAGGCACAGACTGCTGACACGGTAAATGAAATTTAATGCAGTGAAACATGAAATCATATATTTTGCAAGGAAGACTGGGGAGAAACAATATATATACTAACTGGTAACATTTTAAAGGGTTACAGAAATAGAGAGACAGAATTTGTTTCATTAAATAAATTTGGAGAAGGTGGCACAGTGGCTCAGTAGTTAGCACTGCTGCCTCACAGCACCAGGCACCCAGGTTCAATTCCACCCTCGGGTGACTGTGCAAACTCCACACGTTCTCCCCGTGTCTGCTGGGTTTCCTCTGGGTGCTCTTGTTTGGTCCCACAGTCCAAAGATGTGCAGGTTAGGTGGATTGGTCATGCTAAATTGCCCCGAGTATCCAGGGATGTGCTGACTGAGTGGATGAGCCATGGGAACTACAGGGATCGGGTGGCTCTTCTGAGGGTCAGTGCGAATTCGATGGGCTGAATGACTGCTTCCACACTGCAAGGATTTGATGCACAAAACAAGAAACACTTATCCTGATGTCAGTTTAAGCAATTCCGTGGCCAACAGTTATCACACTTTGAGTCAAACACAATTTTATTGTGAATGAGCCATTCAAATTTTATAGTCGGCCAATGATACCACAATTATTTATCTTCCACCATTGGGCCAGTAATGTTTTCCGTATTGGTTCTGCATTAGAAGTTTGTCTTATCTTATTAAATGTTGCATCCTGCATTTAATCAAATATAAACAGGGAAATTAACCTTACCTTCAAACCTCTCTATTTGAAGCGAACAGAAAAGGAATAACACCAAGATGATACTCTCCATTGTGGCTTCACGTCTTTCTAACGGTACTATCTGAAGGAAGGGTGGGGATAAGCGTTAAGTTACAACTGTTGTAATTGTATAACAGAAAGGACATGACACTTTTTTTGCTTTTAACTGAACGTGGGTAGATAACAAATATCGTATACAATTAAAACAAGTTTAAGAGTTCCCCTTCTGTGGTTGTGTTCCCGTTTGCAAAATATTACTCACCACGTTGTGTTATTAGTTCCTGCTTCGAGGCTGGCAGATAATTTCGTAACGATTTGTTTTCCCAAAGCAAATAAATTGGACCGAATGCTGGAACTTAAAGTAACACAGGCTGAATTGTTGAACAGCCTGGTTTGACATGGGCCCTCTAGCGCTTGGTTGAGTCAGTGGTGGGGGGAATAAATAGAATTTATTTTCAGATGAACAGATGCGATTTATAATGATTCAAACAGTGAAGCAAAGTGACTGCAATCTCCAGATTGGCACTCATACTTTAAATAATACCTTCAACTGTATCCTGTTAAAAGCGGAGACAGATTGTATTAAAAATATTGAATTCCCAGTGACCAATTGGAGGATTCCCAAAACAAAGATTTCACGTTTCACGACGTTTATTGTGATAAACGAACTAAAATAGACATGCCCTTAAGATTATTATTAGGAGGGAACTAAATTACAAAAATCACATGCTTTATGAAGTATTTAGCGCCCAGCAAAAAAAAACTTATGCTGCATTCACTTCAGACAATATCATCCCTCCCAAAGACGTCAAATCGCCATGGTCCCACAAGACCATAGGCCTGCTGTCTTATTAGACAGACAGGTGGTGGTTTACCTTCACGGTCACCACTCCTCAGGCCAGGAGAAAGACTGGTAAGTACAGTCCTTCATGATAAACTCAGTCAGTGTGGGAATTGAACCCATACTGTTGGCATCTCTCTGCCCCTAACTGACCTCCCCAACATTACCCTTCTCACCACCCCATTACCATCAAATCAGACGATCAATCCAGGTACAATGAAAAGTGCAGGACGGCATGCCAAGAGTAGCACCAGACACCCCTAAAAATTTGTTGCCAATTTGGTGAAATTATGAAACAGGATTACTTGTCAAACAGTACAAGCAGCAAGTGATAGAGTTTAGCAATTCCACAACCAATGGTTCAGATTTAGGCTCTGCAGTCTCTAAAGTTTAGAAGAATGAGAAGAGATCTAATTGGAGTGTATAAGATGTGAAAGGGATTGACAAAGTAGATGTAGAAAGGATATTTCCTCCTGTACGACAATCTAGAAGGAGAAATCATAGTTTCAGGATAAGGGGAGATGAGGAGAAATTACTCCTCTCAAAGTGTCATGAATCTGTGGCATTCACTGCCCTAGAGTGGGGTGGGTGCCAGGACTTTGAATAAATTCAAGGAAGAGATGAAAAGATTTTTTAATTAGTAATGGGTTGAAGGGTTATGAAGGGCAGAAAAGTGGATTTGAGATCAAGATGAGATCAGGCATTATCATAATAGTAGAACAGCTGTCAGGGCTGAATAGCCAACTCCTACTTTTGGTTCTCAAGTCCTGCACATCCAATTGGAAATGGTGGTGGACAATTAAACAACTCATTGGAGATGGCAGCTCCACAAATATCCCTATCCTCAATAATGGGGAGCCCAGCATATCACTGCAAAAGACAAGGCTAAAGTATGTGCAATAATCTTCATCTGGAAATGTTGAGTGGATCCGTCTCGGCTTTCTCCAAGCAGTCCCCTGCATTACAGATGTCAGTTTTCTATCAATTCAATTCACTCCCCTGTAGACATTGGATATTGCAAAGGCTATGGGCTATGACAACACTCTGGCAATACAACTGAAGATGTGAGTCCAAAATGTGCCACACCTTACCAAGTTGTTCCTGTATAGCTAAAACACTGACATCTACCCAAAAATGTGGAATATGTCCTGTACACAAAAACTAAGACAAATCCAACGTGGCCAATTATCACCCATTTGTCTACTCCGAGTCTACTCTTTATCATCTGTAAATTGATGGAATGTGTCACTAATATTGCTATCAAGCAGCACTTACTTAGCAATAAGCTGCTCATTGATGCTCAGTTTGGGTTCTGCCAGGGCCACTCAGCTCCTGGTCTCATTACAACTTTGATTCAAACATGAATAAAGGAGCTGAATTCTAAAGGCAAGGTGAAAGTGACTGACTTTGAAATGAAAATCTCTTGACTGCAGCATCAAGGAACCCTAGGAAAACTAAACACAATGGGAATCAGAAAAAACGGTCATTGGTTGGAGTCATACTTGGTACATAGGAAGATAGTGGAGATTGCAGGATAGTGTCTGTGGCTCAATCATTTTCAACTGCTTCATCAATAACTTTCCCTTCATCATTAGATCATAAGTGAGGATGTTTGCTGAACTGGGACAATGTTCATCACCATTCATGACTCCTCAGACACTGAAGCAGTCCATGTCCAAATGCAACAAGATCTGGACAATAGCCAGGCCTAGGCTGACAAGTGGTCAGCATGTTAAAGGGAAGGTAAATGAAACATTGGCCTTTATTTTGAAGGAATTGAAGTGTAAAAATAGGGAGTTTTTGCTAAAACTATTCAAAGCAATAGTCAGACCACTGCTGAAATACTGTGAACAGTTTTGGGCCCCTTATCAACAGATGCTGCCAAACCTGCTGAATTTCTCCAGCATTCTCTGTTTTTGATGTGAATGGCGATGGATTGTCAAATGGGGATGTGCAACAAGACCTGGGTGTGCTTATCACTGAAAGATATACCTGTATTGGAGGCAGTCCAGAGACGTTTCACTAGGCTGAAATCAGTTATGGAGGAAAATAAAAACAGAAATTGCAGGAGAAATCAGCAGATCTGACAGCTCCTGTGGGGAGAAAACAGGGTTGAAGTTTCAAGTCTGGTGACTCTTCATTAAAACTGGAGTTATGAAGGGACAGAGAGTGAGTAAATTGGGCCTGTACTCATTGGAATTTATAAGAATGAGAGGCAACTTCATTGAAACGTACAAGAGTCTTAGGGGACTAGACAGAGTAAATGCAGAAATGTTGTTTCTCTTGGAGGAGGGTCAAGGACCAGAGGGGATATTCACAGTATAAGGGGTTGCATTTTTAAGACAGAGATTAAGAGGAATGTCTTCTCCCAGAGGGTAGTGAATCTGTGGAATTCTTTATAGCAGAGGGTTGTTAAGGCTGGATCATTAAGTATATTCAATCTGAAATAGACAGATTTTTAATCCTTAAGTGAATCGAGGGTTATGGGGAGAAAGCAGGAAAGTAGAGTTGAAGATTATCAAATCAGCCATGATCTCAATCAATAGCAGAACAGACTTCATGTCTACATTGCCTACTTCTGAAGTCATATCAGCCTTGAAACATTATCTTGGTTTCCCTCTCCACACATGCTGCTAAACCTGCGGAGTTTCTCCAGCATTCTCTATTTTTGATCTCAATGGTGATAAATTGAGAAAGGGGGATGCGCAATAAGATCTGCGTGTGCTTGTACAGCAAATCACTGAAAGTAAACATGTAGTTACAGCAGTGGAGAAGGCAGCAAAAATTATGTTGGCTTTCAAAGTGAAAGGTTTTAAGTACAGGAGCAAGGATGTCTCGCTGCAGTTGTATAGAGCCTTGGTGAGATCACACCTATAGTATTGTGTACAGTCTTAGACTCTGTATCTGAGGAAGAATGTTCTGGAGGGAGTGCAAGGGAAATTTATCAGACTGATTCATGGGATGGCAGGACTGGCATATGAAGAGGGACTGAATCACTTAGGACTATATTCACTAGAACTTAGAAGAATGAGAGGGGATTTCATAGAAACTGATAAAATTCTACCACACAGTGTAAACACAGGAAGGATGTTCTCAGTGAGCCAGAGGTCACAGTTTAAGGATAAGGGATAAGCTATTTAACACTAAGAGGAGGAAAAATGTCTTCACCCAGAGAGTTGAGCTTGTGGAATTCTCTGCAGCAGAAAGTGATTAAAGCCAAAACATGATCATAAGGGTCCTGACTCGAGACATCAGCTTTCCTGTTCCTCTAATGCTGCCTGGCCTGCCGTGTTCCTCCAGCTCCATACTTTGTTATCTCTGACTCCAGCATCTGCAGTTCTTGCTTTCTCAATGATCATAACCCTTTAGCTTTTGTCAAAATAAATGTAAAAACCAAAATGCCACACTATTTTGCTGGATTGTTTTTTTCCCTGTTTTATTCAGAGGATGTGGGCACCACTGGCAAGGCTGGTATTTATTGCCCATTCCTAATTTCCCAGAGGACAGTTAAAAACAGTACTTTGGGTCTGAAGTCATATATAGGCGAGACCAGGTAAAGATGGCTGTTTCCTTCCCAAGGACATTAGTGAACTTGATATTTATTTTTCCCCTGATGACAATCAACAACAGTTTCACGGTCATCCTGAGACTCTGAATTCCAGATTTTTTTATTGGATTCAAATTCCACTATCCGCTATGGTGGGCTTCAAACCTGGGTCCCCAGGGTCTCTGGATTAATAGTCTAGTGATAATACCAGAAGGACCTCACTTCCTCTTGCTGTTGCTGTTTTATCTTTTAAAGATTGTTAACAGTGCAGGGAAACGTTACATAATTGCTGATGCTTTTCAAAAATGTAATCTTGATTGAATTGTCTAAGTACTAAGAAAGTAGCACAAATAATTGTATAGGTTATGTGTAGACAGCAAATGAGAATGAACATGTAGATCTTGAAATTTTGTCCACATATAACAAGGCATATTTAAAACATTTCATTTTTCCCCCAGAAATGGAGGTGTTATGAAGTCATTTTATGTTTAATGTTGTTTGGAAGGAGCTCTTGTGCTGCAGTACGTAGTAATCCTACATCTACAGCAGGAGCTTTAGGTTCAAATCTCACTCTAAGACCTGATGGCTAAGGAAGGTTTGTCTGTAATATTGTTTATTCAATCTGCAAATCCTTTTGACACATGGGAATGGCAGGTAGTAAGCATGAGAGAGATTCCTGGTGAGCCAGATGATGGAAAAGATTTTAGAACTACACCATCAATACCTTCATGCTATAAACATTCAAATGAAAAAGTGCATGTTTCCACAGCAACTGGGATCCTCTTAAAGATTGATCTGTAACACAACTACAGCTCAGAATGGGAGTGGGAAACTTACCCAAGCAATAATGGATTTTGTAAAGTAGTAATTGAAAGTTAATGTGAACATTGGAATTTTTTTAAAGATCCCCTGTAAGTCACCATGACTGGTGATAACTGCTTGCTTTGCTGTAGACACTGTTAGGCCTGTTTTTAAACAGTGATTGGCTTGGAGAGGTCTTGCTTTGTCTGGTTTAGTTGAACTAAAGCCTGCT